AAAAAAAAAAAAAAGAAGATCAGAAAGTGTGAGGAAGAGTGTGTGTGTGTGTGTGTGAGAGAGAGAGCGCTTTGCCAGGGAGAGGACCAACGGTTGTGGTGGCAAAAGTGTAGAGGAAGAGAGAATAGTGGGAGGTTAGGACCAGCACAAAAGGTAGAAAAAAACAAGGCCATGGAAAAGAATAATTATTAATAAAATTAAGAGAAATAGGTAGAAAAAAAAAAGGCCATGGAAAAGAATAATTATTAATAAAATTAAGAGAAATGTTAGGGTCCCGTTACGATATCATCTGGTCGGATGTTTAAATCATTGGATTCACATGTAGTTAGATACCATCCCGTTGGGTGTTTAAACCATTGGATTCACATGTAGTTAGATAAGATAGACAATCTAACGGTTAAAACACCCGACAAGATAGTATCGTAAGTGATCCATAACATTTACCATTAATTATTCACAGTATAGCTGATTTGTAAGGGAAAAAAAAATATCTACCTTGCAAATTTCATTTAATGTTATTTAATTTAATGGAAGGGTGTTTGTAGTAAAAGGGGAGTTGTAATATTAGAATAATATTAGCATATTATTAAGTTATAGTATAAAGCTATGATTGATAACAAAATAAGTTAGTTTATAGTTTATTTGCTTAGTTTATAAGGTTTATGTATTCAAATAAATTTTCAAATGTTTATTTTACTTGTAATTTGATCTTTTTGAAACAAAAATTGATAGTAAAAGACACGAGCTTAATTTTGATTTTTACAAATAAAATTAAACAAAGCAATTGCTAAAAGTTTATGCTCTTGTGATTTTATTGTCAAAATTGGAAGATTGTAATTATATTGCAAATGAAGCAAATTGAGATTTTATTTGAAATTTAGTACATACAGTGATTAAAGACTAAAGCTAGAAATCCATTAACAATAACATTTGGGAATAAAAATTCATCCTATTTATTACATTTTATTACAATACAATTTATATATTTTTTTTTTTATCTACGATCTCTCTATAAGGTAGATATAATATAAAGTGTGGGCATTTATTACAAATAATTGTAGTTAGAACGAGTTTGGTCACAATATCAAATGTCAAAGAAATGTAAATGATAGAAAAAAATTTATTAACCAGGACTACTCTTATTTTTCTGTACTATACAGTGGGTAAATGTAGTTGAAAAAATCAACTCAATTATTGTCTTTTGAGATATAAAGTTTTAAAATAGCAGTTATTTTTTTTTTTTCCAATAATAGACTTTCATAAAGTTAAAATTTCTTTACCGAACAGATTCATCCTAAAAATAATCAATTATTTTCACTGTTCTAAAAATCGACCTAGGCGGTACTCAGACGCCTCCGATTTGCACCATATTCAACCATGATGCATGAAATTGTTCAGTTGCACCCTATTCAACCATGATGCATGAAATTGTTCGTTAAAACCAACAAATATACACACACATGAACACAAAGGCCAAACAGAAAAACACACAACATGAGTTTAATGTTTTCTTGTTCTTTGCTTGAGCATGCAATTTTGGAGAATAGTTAATTGGATTGTAATAAAGTACTCCCTCCTATTCATAATAATTGTCGTTTTGGAAAGTTGCATAGTTATTAAGAATATATTTTTTAGCCAATAATAACCCTCATTAATGATGATAGAGATGAATGTTTTGAGAAAAAATAAAGAATGAATATGAAAAGACGTAATATATTTATTAGCTAAATGAGGATAATAATGGAAAAATATGTACAAAAAAATATCCAAAACGACATTTATTTTGTTAATAGTTAATAATGCCAAAATGACATCTAAAAAGAATAGGAGTTAGTATGAATTTTTGGAAGTATACACACAAAAAACAATACATTTATATTGTATTTGTTTGTCTACTTGCTTGCAATAAATAGGTAAATGAGCTACTACATGTGTAATTGCAATTAGGAATTTTATGATTAGTGTTTAGGAATTCTTATGATTGAGCAAATGCAAATACTTTTTGTAAGACAATATAATCGTTAGACGGTCGATTCATCATATAATTTCGAAGAAAATAATGTATATTTAAATATCCAATAAATATTTTTTTATTTATTTATTTGCTTTTTTTTAATTATGATATCTTGTTATTAAAGTATATATTTTTATTGCAAAAGTAAAATCATTTAATAATCGCTCCGTCTTGCAGTATTTTTAGTTTTTCCATATTTGCTTAGGATAGCATTTTGAAAAAATATTGTTTTGTTTTTCAAAATTCAACTATTTATGAAGTGGAGTTTTGAATGATTAATAGTACAATTGAGAGTAATGAATGATTGTAGGTAGATATAATTAGTTAAAAATTTTATATTTGAATTCAAATTTTGTCTGCCTAAATAGAGATGAAAACACATAGATAATAATCATTAAGCTGTTGGCCCTCCCTCATGCTAGTGTGATTTGATTTGAAATAGAGAGACGATGTCTTGTAGAGGTTGTAATTAAATTTCTAATCTTCATTATCAACTATTTAAATTGTGTAGCATAAAAAAAACCATTTCATTAATGGTATAAAACGAAAAAATGAGCCGAAAAATGACATAATGTTTATTGTAGAGTAATAAATGCTAAGATTTATTTATTTATTTATTATTTTTATTATTATTATTACTATTATTATTATTTTATAGTTTTTTTTTTT